GATCGAGACCTCAAGCGATCTCTCTCGATCTCAAGCGATCTCTTATAATCCTTAGCGAAAGGTTTGATTTTAATTCCCCAAGATGTTTATTTTGTGTTTAATTCTTCGTATTTGATCTGGGTTTTCTCACAATCTTCGATTTTAGCTTATTCCTAATTCACTTTAGAATTTAGAACTAGATTGGAATTCATGACTTCAATTCTGGTCCTGATATAGAGGTTTCAAAAAGGCCAACGATGGGGATGAACAACCAGCTAATGGGTATGACTACGAAATCTCAAATGGTTGTTCATGAGTGCGAGGTCACGACAATTCTCATCTTATATGGACTTCCTAGGTATTGTACCTTATTGTCTCCTTTCTAAGTACTCTCTCTCGCGCCAATTAGGCTCAATGAAATCTATGTTCACACACAGGTTACTAACTGGATACATCTTGGCTCACGAGATGACGCATGCTTATCTTAGACTCAATGGTATGAGATGGTCAAATACACAAGTTTTATGTTTAACAATGATTGATCATCACCAAGACTTCACAAGTGCTTTGGTTTGGTTACAGGACATAGGATTGTTAGCAATGTTTTAGAAGAAGGAATATGCCAAGTGCTAGGCCACATGTGGTTGGACTCACAGAGATACTCCACTACTGATGCTACTGAAGCAGCAGATTCTTCTTCCCGGACTCTTCCAGCTGCTGCTAATGAATCAAAGAAAGGTAAGTACTCTGATTTCGAGAAGAAGTTGGTGGAGTTTTGCAAGAACCAGATAGAAACAGATGATTCACCAGTCTACGGTGTAGGGTTCAAAAGAGTTAACCAGATGGTCACAAACTCCAGCCTCCAGGAAACCCTCAAAGAGATTATTCGTCGGGGTTGAAGACGATCCCATCCAGATTCAAAGTCACATATATACCACACGTAGACACATACATATATATAGACTCATGTATTCAAGCCATTACCAAGTACACTTTTTGTTCTGCTTTTCCTTCTTTGGTGTGTTTTTTCCTTTTTTGGGATTGCTGCTTCTTTGATTTTCGGGTGAAATTGCAATGTTGCTGTGTGTAAAACTGTGTCTTCTTCGTTTTCCCGTAAAGTTTGAACCTTTAGAGGATCTTGCGTTAAGTAATTGTATCATGGTCGGATTAAACTCTTTCCGGTGATCCATTCCCGTTGAAACTAAAAGGAAGCGTTTTTCCAAGTCTTTTTCTTTGGCTTGCTTTGCTTATTTTTCCGGTTGCGTTTCTGATATGAATAATTTCTTTTTATACAGTCAAATGATATGTCCGTGGTTGTGGCCTGTGATGCATTTATCACCAAAGCACACCAAGTGTTCGATGTTTGTGAAGAAAAAAAAAAATGTAACATAAGTCAATGTTGGAAATCGACCATGTACAATGCATGATCGATTAATTTAATGAGATAACTAGATTCTCCCTTGCACTATTTGCGGGAACATTCGTTATATATATTGTAAATTAAACTTAACTTTATTAATATCAGCTTAACAATTTTGAATTAGAGGTTTAGTTAAGGAGTGTCAAAATAGGTAACTCGCCCAACCCAAACCCACATGGATTTGAGATTTAATGAAGGTTTAACCTGGACTGATATGCTATATGAGTTGAATTTACATATCCAAATCTAAGAATATAAAACTCATTGACTGAATGGGTTATATGGGTTACTCACATA